CAGAGGACCCTGACTCTTACTGTACTGAAAAAATTGAAGCCACTTGATTTGGCCATTATCTTCTCCGATTCTCTACCTCAAAAACTCTTGACATCATCCTTTTCCCTAGTCTCTGACAAAGCAACTCCTTTACATGTACCATTGGACCTTATCATCTTTCATTTTCTCCAGCAGAATGCATCTTCCATCATCTCACCCCCTTTTGAATCTTTAACTTTTTGCTATTTTCTTCAAACATGCCCAAGTCTTCCCCATTCTTAATTTTCTTCCCCACTAGGCTATATATCTCTTCCCTCGGCCAAACTCCTTGAAAAAGCTGTTTACTCTTTCCACCTCCAGGTTCTCTCCTCTCACTCCTTAACTCTTTGCAATTTGGCTTCCAACATCATCATTCACCTGAAATGGATCTCTCCAAAGTTACTAAGGATCTCTTATAATTGCCAAATCTGAAAATCTTTTCTTAACATGAACTCTTCTTAACCTATCTGCTGCATGACACTGTTGCCTACCTTTCTCCTACAAGATACTCTTTCTTCTCTAGGTTTTTATGGCACTACTCTCTCCTGATTAGCCCCCTTCCTACCTGTCTAACTGCTCCTTCTCAGTCTGCCCTGTTGGGTCAACATCTACATCATGTTCCTAGATTGTGTGTGTTACCTAGGGTTATGTTCTGAACATTCTCTTCTCTTTCTATACTTTCTGTCTTAGTGACCTTATCAGCTCCCATGGGGTTAACTATCATTTCTATGAACTGACTTCCAGATCTACCTAGTCAGCTTCATCTCTACCGAACTTTAGTCCTAGATACCAAATGCTTACTGGAAATTTCAAGCTGGATGTCCCAGAGACATCTTACGTTCAACATGTCTTAAAAGTGAACTCATTATACTTTCCCCTAAACTCCTCCCTCTTCCAAACGTCCCTATTTTTGTTGAAAGTACCATCATTCTACTTATATCTTAGGTTTGTCATCAGAATTATCCTGACCTCATCACTTTCCGTCATTCTCTATATAGTTCAGTTTTGCTGTTTCTAGTTTCATAAAATCTACTGTACTCCCTCCCTCCTCTCCACTCCCACAGTTACCTATTTTTCAGTCCCTCATCACCTTTTGCTTGTGTTATCCTAACAGCCTAATTGGATCACCCTGCTTCATCTCTCATCATGCCCATCTATTCCACTGCTGGCAAAGTGTTGCTCACTAAGTTCAGATCTGACTATGTGACTCTATTATGCAAGCAACCCTAGTGGCTTTCTATTGCCTCCAGAATAAACACAATCCTCTCTTTTAGTTTTTAAAGTACTACACAGTTGGGCCCAACCACTCTTTCAGACTCATTGTACATCATTCTCCCTCTTGCACTCTGCAATTCAGAAGTCTTCTTTCTGCTTTTCACTTAAGACCCTCTATATGCTTTCTCAGTGCTTTTTGCACTGGCTGTCTTCCATGCCTGGAAGGGATCCTCCCTATTTCTCTCTCTCTTCCCCTCCTTTCTACCTCATAGTCTCCCCACTTCCCTTAAAGATATAGTTCAGGTAAATCTCCTGAATGAAATTTTTCCTAATCCTTCTCTTTCTAGCTGTGTTTCTGACTTTCAAAATTTAAATACTAATAATTCATACTAATAAATACTAATATTTTAAATACTAATAATAATTCTCAGTGGCCTTCTCACTCAGAAACCTCCCTCAGTTCCAGGGCTTCCTCACCCTGGAACAGACAGCCAGTGACATAGTTTCTTCACTCTGGAACACCCCCCCCCCCCCCCCCCCCCCCCGCCCCCTCTTCCATTGTGAGTTCTTCCTGGAATTTCCATTTTGGGGAGGGGCTTGGGGACAGAGAACCTTCATTCCTCCCCTCCCTTTGGTCTTTCTGGAATTCAATACCTTGTTTCAACTCAGGTCCTTTTAGTCCTCCCACATTCCCTCCCCCATGATTTCTGTTCCTTTTTGTGTGTTATCTTCTCTCATTATTATATAAGCTCCTTGAAGGCAGGGGACTTTGTTTTTGCTTGTATTTTTATGTCCAGCACCTAGCACAGTGCCTGGTACAAAATATGCACTTAATAAATGCTTGCTGAAAGCTTGCCAAATGCCGCCTGTCCCAAACTATGTGCATGCATTTATTAACTTTTGAGCAGGCCTGCACAACTTGCAGCCCTCAAAAAATGTAGAGGATGTAAATACAGGCTTTCACAATATACTGCTGGCGGGCCGTACATAGTACAAGCCTGCTTTAGAGCTATGTTGTATATATTTTTATGTGTACTTGTCTCCCCTGTTGGATGTAAGCTCACTGTGAGCACAGAACGTTTGGTTCTTTGAACTTGTATACATCCCATCCAGCTAGCACAGTGAGAGGCACAATATAAATATTTAATTAATATTTGTCAATAAATGATGAAGAACGTTACTCCTTCCTAAAAGCAGTGATCATAAGGTGCAGACATGTTTTTTTGCACATGGGTAAGGATTCATTTTGCTTTACTATTCTACTTTTTACAAGGGCCCCTCCCCCATCTCTTTCTCTCCATTAATTCCAGGGGAAAGAGGTGGGGGTGTTGGCAATGGTGATGCAAAAACAAACAAAAAACCACTGTTGTAATATTTTTTTTTAAATGCAGAGATAAGAACATAAGGAATTTCTGAAGGAGAAAGAGAAGTTAACACATAATTCATCATATACTTTAGCAAGCAGTGTGAAAAGGAGATTCATGGTTTCACATAGAATCTTTTTGTGTTCTGATATGTGTACAGAAATACAATATATTTTTTGGTGTTTAAGCTCAGAACAAAAATATTTTAAAAATTTGTCGATTAGTATTAGTGATTTGTTACAGTATTTTATCATATAATTGTTAATAGTCTGTAATTCTTTTGAGAACTATCAGTTCTTAGTTTTTGAGTACTTCTCAGTTGGGGAATAGTTTTCGGTCTTATTTCTTTCTTTGAGTTGTCTGCATCTTGGCTAAACTCTTATCAAAAATATTTAATAAGAAAGATTTCTTCCCAGGCAACCTACGAATACTTTGTCCTAAATGTGTTAATTTGTTTGTGCAATAGTTTTATTTCATGTAGCTGAAGTGCTCTATTTTATCTTTTGAAATTGCCTCTATCCTTGTCTGGTCAAGACATTCCCTACCTATAGTTGTGAAAGATGTATGATTTGCTTCTCTTTTACTGGTATCATCTTTAATACTCAGATAATCTATCCACTTTGAATTTATAGTGGAATATAGTATAAGATGTTGGTCTAAGCTTAATTTCTGCCAGACTGCTTTCCAATTTTCCCCAACAAGTTCTTATCAAATAGGGAATTCTTTTCTAAGTAAGTTGGACTTCTAGTTTTACTGATAATATTTGATCACTGAGCTCAATTATTTCTATTCTTCCCTTTCTAATCTGTTCCATTGATCTACTTTTCTATTTTTTTTTAAACAGGACCAAATGGTTGTGTTGATTGCTACTTTTTAACATAGTTTGGAGTTTTGAAGTGCTGTTCTTTCATTCCTATCTTTTTTCATTACATATAGTTCTTACTTTTGGTAAATTCATATTATACAAATCCAATTTTACATAAAGAATTCTAGAAGAAAGCTATATTCCAAAAAAAGAAAAACACCTGTTAACTTTACTGTACACTACTGTGCACTCATGCGCTCTCTCTCTCCCCCCTTCCCCCCACTCCAACTACTGTCCTTTAGCCCAGCACTCTCTGGGCTCCTGCACTTTCACCAAAAAAACCAACCAACCAAAACCTCCTAAAATACAACTCTCCAAATGAAAGTAGAAGAACAGACATGTGGAGAGAATACCACTGCTGGCACAGGATGGGGAGGAAAGGGGATCTTGGCTTGAGCCCTCCAGCACTGAGAGTAGAGACCTTTGCCCCACTCTGCCCATCCAACCATCTGTCTGTCTTTCATCCACCTTCAGGTACTGCATATCTGTCCCCAGCCCCTGCTTGTCACCTGTCATCTCCAGAGTCTGTGTTCAGAGGCCAAGCATCTGCCAGCTGCATGTTACTACTCTTGGTTCCAGCGAGACCCTGACATGGCTGGCCTTGGCTCCCATCTGTTTCTCCTCCTGCTCTTGTTTCTATATTCCTGACCCTGAGTTTTTGTTTTTGTCTTTGCATTCCCAACACCTAGGTAGCACATGACAAACCTGAGTCTTTGATCCCACTGAAAAAGCATTCGTTTTCTTGTATCTCCCCTATGATCTTGCTCCAGCTTTCATTCCATCTTCTTTCAGATAGGTATCTTCAACCCTGTCACCACTGGCTTATTTCCAAAAACTTAGACTCATGCTTGAGTCTAATTCTAAGAAATAACCATCACCTAACTCTTCTAGATGACCTGCCTATCATCCTCCATCTCTCTTCATAATAAGCCGTCACTCCCCGCACCTTTCCAGCCTTATCTCATATTATTCCTCTTTTTATAACACTCAAAGCAAACATGCTTCAGATTATTTCTATGTCTGAAATGCTCTCCCCTCCATTTACTTAGTGCATGAATTCCTTTTAAGACCAAATCAAATGTCATCTCTCCAAGAAGATTACCTTGATCCCTGTGTTTCGGAACAACTGTGCTTTAAGACTTCAAGAAGTTTAAAAAAAATTCTCTAATGCATACATAATGTAATATTGTATGTTACAGTCATCTATATCCAATGTTTTATCTCTCTCCTCCACTAAGGTGTAAGGTCCTTGAAGGCTGAGACTTAGCTCAATTTTGTATCTTCCCTGGCTGTAAAATATTTTTTAGTGAGCAATAAGCACAATTCATAAGGTACTATGCCCTACTCCCCCAAACCTATCTTCTATTGCATTTACTGTTTATAAAAGAAAAAGCACATGCAATATTTCAATTTTGCTTCATCACCCTTAGTTTGTATCATGATTAAGTATAACATTTCAGTTTAAAATAATAATTTAATATGTAAATCTTAAGAATCCTTAAGACTTATGAATGCTAAATTATAAAAATAAACTTTACCTTCGCACAACTTCTTTCCATCCTTCTTCTCTCTTCTGGCCTCTCTTAGGGCTAGTAAGATTTAGCTTTATGTTTGGAGAACTCACTGGCAATGACACTGATTTATAGTTTGTTGACAACGAATTAGGATTAACTTCACCTTCAATTCTGTAAAGACAAAATGACTCCTTCAAGTAACAGCAAAATAAAACGAAACAAAACCCTCTGAAGATTAAATCAAGATGAATATTAGCAATATATGATTAGACAGTCAATAAATGTCATAAAACCACTGAACTGGAATTGATCTTAGAGAATAGTTATTTAAATATATTCTCCTCTGTCCCCAAGTATATATGTGAATAAACTTAAGTTCACAGAGACTATGAGTTATCCAAGGTCACATAATTTAGTGGCAGAAATAGAATTAAAACAAGGTTCTCTTGATTCTTAAAACATTTATAGAATCACATATTTCTTATAATTCAAATTTGAGAGGATGTGTCATACTCAGAATAATTGATGAACTTGATTTAAAGCTTGATACATCAAATGTTTAACTACTAATGCAGAAAAAGAAGGTGCAAATACTCTAACTTAAATTTTAATGTTAAATTTTAACAGCTAGAAATGAGACCTAATGTGTTTTTATACAAAGCAGTACACTATAATGTTAAAACAGGTTTGCTTGTTAGTTTTACAGGCAAAGAAAGTTATAGTAAGATAAAGTAGTACTTATATTTTGATTTTAGAGAATTTTCACAAATTCTTCTTGATTCAAGTCACCAAGAATAATTTGCTAGGAACCGTTTTGTTCTCTAAATCACAGAGTGGAATATGCTTTGGAGGGCAGGGACAAGTTTTTTAATTGTGTTCTGAACAGAGATGACAATCTGGTAAATTTGATTGTTGGTATTCAACACTATAAAATCTGAATAACTTCAAAACACCATGAAAAGTATCCAAGTGGAAAGGAAAAACAAGCTAAAGACAAAAGAAATTAGGATAAAAAAATTCACCTTGTTTGAATTTTGGAAGTAGTAGTGCTGGTCTTTTCTTCATGAGAATGAATTAACAGTGATGTATATCTTCTATCACCAGATGAATTTACATCCATTGTGAAGTTTAACTCTTGGCTTTTACCACCACTGCTACTCTCGCTGTTACAATCTGTGCTATCCAGGTTATCAGAATCACTATTCCCACCTGGACCACCACCTCTTGGTTCTCCATTTATTTTATTTTTATCTGCCTTTTGTTGTGCAAGTGATATATGTTGATCTGGCAAAATTAAATGCACAGTTGGAGGTGTCTCTTTTGTTTTGTTTTTCTTATTTTTTCGATTGGTGCTGGGGGTTGTTACCACATTAGCCCTCTTTTTCCCAAACACACTGGTAAATGTAGTAGATGTGGCAGAGATCCCAATTGTAGTGGTAGTGGTTGCACTAGGAGGCTCTATGGGAACTTCTTGCTCTGCTAATAAAAATGAATACATAAAAATTACACTTAAAACACGAGTTTCAAAACAGTGATAGTCAACTGTTAAGAAGTCTGAAAATCAAGACATTGTTAATAGTTTTATTTTCATAAATTCCCTCCACATAAGGAAATCCCTATTACTATCAGAACTAATGTATTAGCACACTCTAAACCTAATTTGATATGAAAAACAGAGTTCATTAAAATTTCCTAATCATATTTACCAATATGCTCTTAGGTAAGAATTGTTTGATTTCAGAATTAAAAACACACCTAGAAAGGTAGTATTTTAGAACTACTACCCAAACAGAGCAAAGTACAGCCATTTTGCTAATATAAAATATTGTTAAGGAGCTGTGCCCTAACTTTATGGCCTCCAAAGACCCAACCACTGGGTTCTGTTTTGCCCTAGGGCTAGGAACTTTGAATGAAGTGAAATTGCACATTGTGCTTTGGGCTCTGAAAACCTCTTAATGAATGCCTCCAGATATGTTTTTCTACTTCTCTGTATGTGTACTGCTTCTAACTTTTGACTTGGGTTACTGAGAATGTGAGGAGGGGAAGTGGTTAGTTGTTTTAAAAAATATACTTGTTTGAGAACATAACTTTTCATTTTTTAATATTTTAAAAAACAATCTTCATTTTTTAATATAGTCCCCTCCCACTACAGAGTGAGCCATCCCTTGTAATAAAGAAAAGGAATGAGAAGAAAAAGAAAATTCAGCAAAATGAAATAATACCTCAAATTGAGTCTGATAGCATGGGTATTGTTCTATACTGGTAAGGTATCTTACCTCTCATAATGAAGGAAGAGAGATATATTTTTACATCTCATCTAGGAGTATAGGCTTGGTAATTACAATTACAAAGCACAGCACATAACTTTTCACAAAAGGACTTACTGTACTTCTTCAAACTACTTTTGTCTATTTTCCCATTCTTGTTTCTTTCCCTGATTTCTAGTTTCTATATTAATTCAAAATGTTATAAGATGTTTAAAATATTCACTGTGGAACAGAACCAGGAGAACAATTTATGAAATTACAACACTGTAAACACTAACAACTTTGAAAGACTTAAGAGCTCTGAACAGGGCAATGAACAACCACAATTTCAGAGGACTGATGATGAAGTTTGCTGCCTACCACATAACAGACAGGTGATGGACATGGGGCACAGAATAAGATATATATTTTCTGGACATCATGAACATGGAAATTTATTTTACTTGACTATGTGTATTCATTATAAGAGTTTTGTTTCTCTCTTTTTTTTTTTCAGTGGGTGGGATATAAGAGGAAGAAAAAAGAATTTTTTTAATTAAAAAAATTTAAATAAAAAATGCTCATTATAAAAGGTATCTGTAAAATTAAGAATTAGTTATACATTATGGTGAGCTTTTAGAAAAAAAGGAATGTAAAAACTATATAGACAAAAGAGAATTTTAATTACTTTAAAAAAGATGTACTATTGCTTACCTTCATCATCATTCTCCTCTTCATCATCATCCTCTGGTAACTCTAAATTTTCCTTAGGTTTGTTTTCTTCATCTTCTTCCTGCTTTCTTTTTTGTTCCTCTTTCTTCTTTTTTCTTTTTTCCTTTCTTTTCTCCCTCTTAGCTGCAAGAGCTTGTTTTCTGCTCTCCTCTCTTGACTGTAAAGAAAGCAATCATGTAATGTTACCAGTGATTTGGTAAATATTATTTTTATGACATATAAGATATTCATTATACTATTGTATATGTATATGAGATTTTTAAAAAGATGGTCATTTTTACAACTATTAAGAACGGACACCTGGCATTTGTTCATTTCTTTAAGATGGGGACTCCATGAACACTAAAAAAAATGCATTGTAAAAAAAACAGGAAGAGCTAATAAGGAAAAAGTGCGCCAATTTTTAAAAAACAATTCCACAATCCTGACAATATTTCAGTTTATGGATTATACTTACATTGTAAAAATACAATTTCCACATTGTTAAAAATACAATTTCCACTGAAAACAATACAAAAGCAACTTTGAAACATTAAGCTGCTGTGCTCCATCTGAGGAAACAGTTTGAGAAAGGATAGGTCATTATTAACTTGTTTCTTCTGGAATCATTAGAAGGATTATAGTAGAATTTTCCCTGAATTCCACCTTCTACTTCAGATAGCAAAGTAAGAAATTAAAATATCTAATATCAGTAAAAAAAATTAAGTTTATCAAAAGGAGAAAAAATAAAAACATAAAGGCTAAATGATCATTTCTTCTGAGAAAGTCTTCAAGAAAATATAGCCCTCATTCATGCTTATTTTTTAACTACAGAAGGATCTTTTCTGTAAAGATAAAATGTTTTTCTCTTTTTTTCTTCTTATAGGCAGCTAAGTAGTATAGTGAATAGAATGGTAGACTTGGGGAGGGGTCAAAAAGACCAAAGATCAAATCCTATCTCAGACATTTATTCATCATTTCACACTCACTCTCTGCCAGGCTCATTTAACTTGTCTTTAAAATGGGCAAAATAAAGGCCTCTAACTCAAGATAAAATTACATATGTAATGTTGCTTTGCAAACCATACAGCATTATATAAATGTTAACTATTGCTTTTTCTTTAACAAATATTCATGTTTTTTATTTTTACTTCACCTACATTTCCCAATAAATCAATATCATTCTCCTCCCTTATAATAAAGAGTGAGAAGGGGGGGCGGAGAGAAGGCTAGCAAAATTAAGAAACATGTTGAAAAAGTCTGAGTATTACATGCAAAGTTCCATCCCCATACCTCTACCACTTAAAAAAAAAGTTCATTTCAACAAGTATTTATTAAGCATCTATTATTTGCTAGGCACTGGAGATAGAGACAAATACCACACAGTCCCTGCTCACAAGAAGCATATATTTAATTTAAAGCCAAAATAACAATAATAATGATTATAATGACAACATTTATATAATGCTGAAGGTTTAGAAAGTACATTACATATTATCTCATACATATTTATTATATATAATGGAGACTCATTAAAAGCATACTCATTAAAAAGTTGTTAAAAACAAAGATATTCACTCTTGCTATGTCTGTTTATCAGTTTTAGGAATCTGAGCAAATAGCAATAAGCTGAAAAAGAAAGTGAAGGAATAAGCATTTGTACTGAGGAAATCTAAATTTCTTTATTTGCAGATGACATGATCATTGCCTAAAAAAAATTCTAAGAAAGTAAACAAAAAATGAAGGTAACAAATTACCCTAATAAAGTAGTAGTATACAAGATAAACCCACAAATATAATCTGTGTTCCTATATACTACCAGTAAGAACTAAAAAAAAAAAAACAAAAAAAAAAAACTGATGGAAAGGGAAATAACCTTTACAATAACTAAATAAATAAAATATTTGAGCACTATCAAGACATATAATAGATTTATACCTATATAAAAACAACCTCAAAATGATTTTGACTGAAATCAAGGATGAAGCTAACAAATAGTGGGATACAGCCCACTCATAGTTAGATCAAGCAAATATAGTTTGGGAAATCCTGGCACTTCAACAAATATTTAACAAAATATAAATTAACATTAATACTAATTTAAAGTAGTCATAACATTTATATATAAAAATGATGGGTAAGAATATAAAAAAGTAAAAAGAAAATTAAGATAAGCACTATCACATCACAAAATGTACTATATAAAGCAATAACTTTAACTAGTGTCATGTACCAGAAAAAGAAAATCAAAATAAATTAATAGAGCAGAGAACTCAGAAATAGAATCCACTGCATGTATACAAAAGTTATGTATTTGATAAACACACATTTCACTCGGGAAGAGAACCAATATTCAATAAAAACTCCTGGGAAAGCGGAGAACAAAAAAATGAGTATACAAGACTGTATACCATACACAACAAACTAATTGGATCAAGGATGGAAGTATTTCATTGCAAATTATAACAAGTTTAACAATATAGTCTATCACCCATTAAGATTCTGATTGATAAATAATATTAATATGAGCACTTCAATAGTCTTTGAAATTCTTATTTACCTACAAGGAACATGAGTTGGATTAGAATGTGGGTATACTCAAAGGCACTTCAATGCTTTGTTAATAATAAAAATAAAAATGGTAATATATAGAATTGATGTGTCATAAATCTGAATTATAAGACAAGTCAGTTGATCCTTTTAATATGAATCAATAGCCTTAAACAAAAAAAATTTAAGAGATCACTTTATAATTTAGCTCTTATAGAAAACTGCAAATTACTAAATTTTCACTAAATCATTACTCAGACTAAATATTAAACTACTGATCTAGGAGTACCATTTGGCAAATGTGGTGCCTGCTCAAAAAGGTGAATCTTTTGCTTTATTAGGTCTTAAATTACTTGCTAAGTACTACATGTCAAAACATTTCCCAAAACAATGTGGGTGGTAATACAGTAATAAATTCCTTTAAAGCATATTCTTAGAAGAATGTAGCATTACTTATATAAAGCAGTGTTGTCCCAAATTGCATCACTGTTTTCCCGTTTACCTTTTCCAGATCAAGCTCCTTCAACAGAATACTTGCATTCTTATTTGCTTCAGCAGCTTGCTGGTCTTTAGCTTTCACAATTGTCTCAACACACTGGTGACATTTTTTCAACAGTTCCTAGGGTGGAAAAAGAGACTAAATAATTGTGGAACAGCCCAAATAAAACCTACAGAACAGTTATGCATGGGGTCCAGAGAGAAAAGCTTAGGTGACTGAAAACTCAATCACGTGGGCAGTAGTCTTTCTTCAAAATAAGGAGCAGATAAGTGTTTTATTAACTTGAAATATGTGACTTTAATATCTTACTTTTCAAACATTATTTTAGCACTATGAAATGTAATGATTTTCAAATATAGAAGTTTCCTAACAGCCCAGGTAATGCAGCAGAGAACAAGAAGGATGAGGGCTCTCTTTGTTGGAGGTTCATCTTGCCCACTCTGGAGGTATAACAAAGACACAAAGGGCAAGGACTTCCAACTTCCAGTTTTATGACCCGTCACAATCTGTTTGGAATATTACGTGAAAGCCAAAAGCTTTGAAGTATACCTCTAGGGTACAATATTAGGTACATTTAGGGAACAGAACTATTTCCTGGTAAGTTTAAGTCATCTCAGAAAAGGTATCACCATTTAATAACTCTCCATATCTTACCTGTTTAAACTAATTAGTGTAGGGAACTCATGATGAAACTTCCTCTCTCAAGGCAGACTGACAACTGCTCTATAATGTATAGTTTTAGAGAGATCTTTAGAAAAACATCCTATAGAGCAGAGGTGTCAAACTAAAAGAGAAATGGGGGCCAATAAATTGGGTCCCTGTGGGATATATATAGACTTATCTTTAAAATGTAATGTTATTTATTTAATTATTATGTCAAATATTTCCCAATTACAGGTTAGTTCAGGCTGCATCATGTGCTTCCCGTTTGACACCTCTGATCTATAGTACTGACAGGTTATGCAACTAGCCAATAGTCAGATACTATGTTTCTGATTCAGGAGTTGAATTCACATTTTCATTAAGTTGGTGGCCATTTCTCTATCCCCTCTGGTTATAACTGAGTTAGCAGTACTACATATAGAACAGGATAACAGACCAGATGACATGGTCATTATAATACATTTTTTTTTTTTGGTGAGGCAATTGGGGTTAAGTGACTTGCCCAAGGTCACACAGCCAGTACGTGTCAAGTGTTTGGTATGAGGCCGGATTTGAACTCAGGTCCTCCTGACTTCAGGGCTGGTGCTCTATCTACTGCGCCACCTAGCTGCCCCATTATAATACATCTTGCAGAGGAAAAATATCTCAAAATACTTTACTAAAAACAGTATCTGTAACTTACAAATGAGCCAATTAAACGAGAAAGGTCAAGGGAAATGGCTTAACAAATATTGGTATGTGAATATAACAGGATACTACTGCATTATAATAAACAATTAACATGAGAAGTTCAAATTAACATGAAAAGACTTGTATGAACTGATACAAAAAAAAACGGAACAAAGAGAATATATGCACAAATACTATAATAATATAAATGAAGACAGTACAAAAAGACAACAGAATTTAGATAAACTTCAGTGACAATGTTGGTTCAAGAGGACCAATGATGGAACAATTTCCTCTTTCTCAGCAGAGTGGTGGTATACAATATGTACAGGATATTACTGCAATCTGCCAGTTACAACTTTTCTATGAGATGGTTTTGCCCTTTTTTTTTTTGAGAGGCAGCAGTAAATAAGGAAAGGTTTTTGAAGAGTTATTATTGGGAAGTGATTGTCATGTTTAAGATAAAATGTATCAATAAACCTTTTTAAAAAGGTGATTTGCCAATAAAAACAGAATCTCACTTTAATATAGTGTAACACTTCTACAGGGGAACAATGTTTCTAAGTCATATTACCCTTACCTTATCAGTGATAGTTGCTATGTATCTCATGCATTCAATATCTGAGGGAAATTGATTGACTTCTTTCACCAAATACTGCACAACTTTTACATGGCCCTATGGAGGAAGTACACATGAAAATTTATTCAACTTTTGCCTAAGTGCATAAAAATTTACAAGTGAATGAAAATTAGTGGTAATTAGCTACAAAGAATAACTATCCATTTGAAAATGAGATTAGAAAATTAAAAGTTTCCTACTTACAGAGAAAAGACAACTACAACTTCCTATTTATAGAAAGAATATGTTTCATGGACTAGGGTAATTTTTCCTGCTTTCAAATATCAACTTATAACCAAATGAAAATAGAAATAGATTCTTGTAAGAAACAATGTTATCTAGAATAAATAAAATTTAAATAAATAAAATAAGTTTGCCTTTTGAAACAAACCTTGTGAATCTAAACTGTTAACCTATTTCTTTTTAGCAAGAGCAACTAAAGACTTACTCTGGGAAATAATTAAAAATTTTCTTAAGACTTCATTTTTCTGTTTCAAATAAAATTTTCAATAAAGGTACATATACTATTTGAAGGAATATTTTGAAAACAAATTTACTAACTAAGAATACTAAGAGATATAATGCAATTATCTATATTTAACGTATGGCTGACGAACATGATTTCTTTAAAGCTATTTCAAAAGTAACAATATTTCCTTTCCTTCCTGTAGTAAAAGTTGCTCTATATGAACAAATAAAAGTCTATCTTGCTATTAAAGTCAATTTACAAAATAGCTTGTAGAGAAAACATGTTGCAAAGGCAACCTGCGTATACTGTCAATTTATCAAAATGTAACAAGAAACTGGGCTTCATTAAATGAGGCAGAGGAGTCCTCATATGTAATAGCTACTTTTTCCTCCTCCCTCCCACCCCACCTCCATCAACTTAATAAATCTCATCTACTAACATATAACATTTTTTCTTAGATGTGATTTCTTCCATATGGCAACATTATAACATGACCAGTTATAGCTGGTTTTTAGTTATTTTCTAAATGACATAAAAAGCAGTAACTTATACTGAGAATATTCGTGCTTCAGAAACAATTTTTCTTTCAGGTACTTTGCATTCACAGTCTCATTGAATTTGGAACTTTAAGGACTGAAGAGATCATCTGGTCCAATACTCTAATTTTACAGAGGAAGAAACTGAGCCCTAGAGAGATTAAGTGACTCGTAAACGCAGTCACATAGCTAATATGCATCAGAACAAGGATTCAAATCCAAGTCTTATGGCTCAACTTCTTCTTCACCACAGTGGCTCTAATCCAAACTTATTTGGCCTACCGTCTCCTTTAAGAAAAATATTACTCAGCGCCTCCCTGGAAATCTTTAATGTTTTTTTTTTTTTAAATTTCATCATTTCAAAAAAAGTAAGATGTATCTTACATTTAATAATTTTAAATTTATTTTTTCCAGTATTCAAATTTTTATGACACAATACTACATCATGTAACCATATAGTATAGTACTATAAACAAGTCATTATATGCACATATTCAGGCTGATGCATGCTGGACCTCCCAACAATGCATGACATGCTCACTTGCCAACACCTGCTTGTTAAGTGGACTTGACCACTGATTGGTTATAACTTGCATTTTGTGTGTTTATTTGGAAAATAATGTAATCATTACAACTTTAACTGTTACACAATAGATGAAACATACAAATGGTTTTTCAAAATTTTCTCATCTTCTCTTCTTTCCTTATGCTTCCATTGCCCTTATTTTCCATTCAACGCTCCCCAATTGCACCCAAGGCTACTAGGCTACTACAGCCCTCCTGGATTGTTCCAGAGGCCCCTAGGGGGCGGTATTGCCCATTTTGGGAACCTCTGATCAATAAGTTTTCTATAAAATCTAGTTTTTCACAACAAATCACCTTGCGAAATGCTGACATGAGAGGTGTAATCTTCCGATTATCTGCAGCATCCACATCAGCACCTGCTTGCACAAGCAACTGCACCACATCAAAGTGACCACCATTTGCTGCCAGCCAGAGTGGTGTGTTTCCTTTCTTGTTACGAACATCAATATGGGCTCCCCTATAAAAATCAGAGTATATTTAATATAGTTATATGCTCGGTTTAAAAAATAATTAAATTTTTCTAGTGTTCTCCAACACCTTCTATCAGACACTATCATGTGATTTGGAAACAGCCTTCTTGCTTAAAAAAACTGGCAAAATATACACACTGTAATCAGTATTAAGGGGCTTAGCAAAAGAGAAACAGATTATTCACACATCGATAAAATCTGGCTTCAGGGGGCAGGTAGGTGGCACAGTGGATAGGGTCAGGAGGACCTGAGTTCAAATCTGTCCTCAGACACAATACTTACTAGCTATGTGACCCTGAGCAAGCCACTAAACCTCAACCGCCTTGCCAAAAACAAAACAAAACAAAACAAAAAAAACCTGACTTCACCTATTAATAAGTAGCTCGCAGAATTTGTAGTGGCCTTTGTCTGCTGCTATTGTTAAAGCTGTATCTCGTGAAGAAGGCACAGGAGGAGCATTGACATCTGCTCCTTTATCAAGGAGAACTCTTCCAACTTCTGCATACCCTCCTGAAGCTGCTTCCATCAAAGGGGTAAGGCCAGTCTGAGTAACAAAAAAAATGTTACGTTAGTGTAAGCCAGTATGGTTTACCTTTTATTTTATTTTTTTAAAGGCTACAAAGTCAAGTGATAAGAAAGTTTTAGTTCTAGTGATTAAGTTAAGCATGACTCATCCTGGATATAACACCAGTAATATTAGAGAACATTTTAGTTCACTCAAACTTCGATCACTGTGATCAAATCTGATGACAAAGTGAAGTCAATGCTTCAAGTCTACAAATTTGTAGTCATAATAATGCTCTTGGAAAGGCATTTCCCTGCCAAATAACATTTCCAAAAGATCCTGAATTTTCCCTAGGGCACAAGATCAAGGATACTAGAAAATAATCATCTCTCTTTGGTGACTGCAAAGCCTAAGTTAGAATTGAGTTATTTTGTCTTCTCAGTTGTAAGCTGAGGGCACGAATTATATTTTAACTGAACAATGCTAATTATTAGCACAGTACACTACAGCATAGATACAATTCAGCAAGTATTTTTTAAACACCAACTACAGGTAAGGGTACTATATTTACTAAATTTCTTGAACTGAACACCAACTTAGTTCAAGTTCCAGGAAATCTAACCATGGAAGTACAACTCAAGAAAAAAACCAAGATTTTCACTTAATGGTATCAGTTAAACCTTATGTTTTCCTAACATGAAATGACCTACAAACATGGTGATTATTTGGGTGGATCTCTACTCCATTTTCTTTTTAAAATAGTTATTTTTATTTTTCGTTCCAAATTCTCTCTCCGTCTACCCCCTCTCTTCCATTGAGAAGGCAAGAAATGATAGCCATCATATATATGAAATTATTCAAAATATATTTCCACATTAGTTGCTCCCTTTTTTTGTGCTCAGAGAAAAAAGTACTTGAAAGTTTTGAGTAAAGAAATCCTTATTATTAAGAGATTCAACTTCTATTTCCTAAGAGCCAAATAAAAATTTACAGAGCTATCAAAAATCTCATTATCAGATCAATTCTAAGCTATGTTCGATTTTAGTCTAAACACCAAATGCACGTACTGTTAAGAACAGAATATTGCTTGAGATTTTACTACTACTAATAAGTATATTCTTCCTGAGAGAAATGCTAAAGATGAAGTGATTATCCTTCTACCTCTAGGGTATCAAAGGAAAAGAAATTCCACACATTTATTATCAGCTTTCTAAATTTGAGGATTACAATGATATCATTAGGCATATATGCTGTGGGCAGGAAGGTGGTGCAGTGGATAGAGTGCTGGGCCTGGAGTCAGGAAGACTCTTCTTCATGAACTTAAATCTGGCCTCAGACTAGCTTTGTGATCTTGGGTGAGTCACTTAACCCTGTTTGTTTCAGTTTCTCATCTGTAAAAAGTGAGCTGGGGAATGAAATGAGAAACCACTCCAATATCTTTGCCAATGGAACACCAAAATTATTTTCATAATACTAACATGATTTACTTATTAAACTTTTCCCCCTTTTCCAACTACATAGCTCTGTAAGGACAGATTTTCTTCTTATACTTCAACCAAAACAACATACTAAATGCAAAGCAGATGTGAGAATTCATCTTTTATTAAGTCAGACATCATCAAGAATTGCAAAATTATGTAAAATAGTGCATTTTCCTTATTTATGTTAGCACATGATAGGTTTATTATTGGTTTTTAAATAAATACTTTTAAAATGATCAGTTTTAATTTCTAATGAGAGATACTGATTGATATAACCCATATAAACAAAAAGACTTTGGCACCCTCAATAATTTTTCAGAATGTGAAGTTGTCCTGAGACCATAAAGTTCAACAATCACTGGACTAGAGGCACAAAATGAGACATGAATTCTTGAACATGGCCATGCCTTTGCTTGGCTATACATTTGTTACAAAGTAGGGCTCACATGTGATAGGGAGGATGGTAGGTTAGTAGGTAATGCCACATAAAAAAAAAAAGTAGTAAATATATTTTTAAATTCATAGAATAAGACAGTTCAGTAGGAGGACAAGGAACAACTATTTTAATATTTTAAAAATTACATATATTAACATGATTATATGAAACAGAAGTGTACAGTTTATTATACAATCCTCTCTTGTTTTTCAATATATAGTGACATTTGTGCGCTTATTGATAAGCACATAATATAAAAGAAAAATGGTTTTTAAAGCTTTCAAGTGAAAATAAAGGATTAACAGAAAATCACATGCAATAGAATAAGCACATATAACAGATGCTGTAAAGTATGCTGAATCTTTAAGGAAGCAACAAGCCTTCATGAACCTTACAGCTATTACTAATAAAACGCCACAAATGGTGACAATGGGACATGGACTGATCTATGGTACATTTTCCAAATCCAACATATGAGTATCAGCTTTAAGTTCAGAAAAAGGAGAACCAGCATTTAAGAAAATGTTAAGAGGCATAGGTGGCACAGTGGATAGAGCTCCAGCCTTGGAGTCAGGAGGACCTGAATTCAAATACAGCCTCAGACACTTGACACTTACTAGCTGTTGACCCTGGGCAAGTCACTTAACTCTGCCTCATCAAAAAAAAAAAAAAAAAAAAAAAAAAAAAAAAAAGAGAGAGAGAGACATATCTAGGCCTGATATAAGGAAAAATTTCTAAAACAATAACAACTATCCAAAAGTCAAATGGGTTGCTTTAGGAAGCAGTGGAAGTGGAAGTGGAAGTGGAAGTACTTTAGGAAGCACTTCTCTTACTGGAAGTCTTCAAGGATAAGCTGGTTAACCACTTGTTGGTTATGTTGTAGAGGTTCAGGTATGGGCTAGGATTAGATGGGCCTTTAAGCTCCCTTCCAATTTAGAAATTCTAAATAATTGGGGGAGGATTCCCAAGCTACTGTTCATCTGAGGATATCTTTGCCCAAATTCCTACTGTTACTAGAGGAAACAAAAAGTGATTATAACCAGTATGAACAATTAAAAGAATTTTCATTAAACCTGACATTAAAGTTATTCTCTTCTTGGAGAGACAACATGAAATATTATGAAGGCATGATATTTTACCTTTGCTCTATGCTCAACATTTGCTTTTCGGTCCAAAAGCAAACTGACTACCTCTGCTCGTCCCTGGAAACAGGCCAGAGTAAGCGCTGTGTTCCGATTGGTCTCTATCTGAGCATTAATATCAGAACCCATATCAAGCAACAGCTTCACTGCAGGAACATGCCCATTCATGGCAGCCAACATGAGAGGAGAAATGCCTAGTTTACTCCCAGTCCTGAGGAGAAAAAAAAAATCTCAGCAAGCAGAAAACATCTTGCACAAAAGACACAAGAGGAAAATGTTTTGTTGGGAAAAAAAAAAACTTTTGTTTTATTTTTTAATTCCAAAGTTATTGGCAAAATTTCAAACGGTGATTCTCCCAGGTAAGGGTTAACTTACACTGCCCTCCCTTCCCTTAAAAATGAGACTACTGAAATTATGGATCACTGAAAGGAGCAAAATAAGAAACAAGCTGTGTGCTACTGTTTACATTAAACATTTTTGTTAGAGGAGTTCTGGCTAACAATCTAAAACCATGTGTTCAAACATTTAGGAGACATGGCTTAGACTTTAGATGACAATTAATATTGAGGATTATTGCAAATGAAAAATTCTTACCGGGAGTTAATTTCTGCCCCAGCATTAAGCAGAATCTTAATGATATTGACATATCCCCCAGATGCTGCCAGACTCAATGGTGTATAATCTGACACATTCCTATGTTCTTTATTTGCCCCTCGAGCCAGCAGCAAGTCAACTACCTGCAAAGTAAGGTAGGAAGAGAAATCAAATTTATAGTAAGAGTTCATCAATCAGGAAAAATGAACACTGGGGTCTAGAACTTTCATATCAAAATCTGTGACATTTTGATTAAAGAGAAATATAATAAAAAAGGCCTTAAATCTCTAGAGATCAGAAAAAGCACCCAAATTGTTTCCAAAAGATTTAAAGCCTTGAAGCACCAAACTACTACATCAGTAAAATGTCACCCTCTTAATTTTTCAAATGGTTAAATATTGAAAGATTACTTCATGTTTAATATTATGATCTTAACTGGAAGAATACCAGAAGCTTAGGGTTTCATATATAGAGAAAAGCTGATGTACACGGTGGATTCTACTACATAGCATGTCCTGCAAGCATGAAAATTTCCTATTTATCACATTCTTTAACAGAGCAAATGAGGTAGAAATATGTTAAGAGTTTCCATTGCATGCTACTAAAATAACAAAAAAATGCATATTTATAAAGGAAGTAAAAATCATACATAAAATATTAAAAATAATTACCTCTTGACGTCCACCAGAACATGCAAGTGAAAGTGGGGTGTCCTTAGTGCGTTCAGACTGTGCTTCTATGTCTCCACCTTTATCTAAAAGAATTTCCACTACTCCAACATGCCCAGCAGTTGCTGCTAGTATCAGTGGGGTAAAACCTAAGACAGAAAGAGTAATTATTTCCTGAGCATTTCCCATCATCTATTTTATTATACTCAAAATTCAGTGAAAATAAAGCATTACTCTAGAAGAGTCACTAAACAATAAACTAAATTGACTTTGTTAGTGACAAACACCCATCACATATTGCAAAAAAAAAAAAAAAGTAATTCCAAGTCAGTAAGAATGATTATAAGGCTTATACCCTCAGAACTGATGCTTTCTTGAGTACTGTTTTGGATTAGTTTTGGAGTAGGAAAATTACAACTTGTTTCACTTCTTGCAAATTAGGTACATGGTAGTTTTTGAAAAGCTACTGGTTGGGACCACAGAGGAGTTAAGATGTTCATGGCTAAAATATTTTTGCTTAATTTCAAAAGTGAGATAAAACTTATTCAGCCAATTATTGCTCAGATGAAAATCCAGCTATTTTCTTTGCTCATTATGAGATAATATATACTAATTACCAAGATTTTATTTCTTACCTTTCTTGTCTCTGTGTTCAATTTTTGCATCTCGTGCAATTAATACCGACACAAGTTCTTCATGACCACCTGCACAGGCAAGCGTTAACGCAGTGTCATGATTACTCTCCGTCTAGGAAATTTAGAAGTAAAAAGATTCAATATTTCTTATGTGAAATACTTTTCAAATTAAGATGGGGGCATTTGTGTGAGCAAAATTTTGTATAATTATGATTCTAATTCCCAAACTGAAATCTCAGTACACAAGGTAAATCTAAATAAAACAATCTACTTACATGGGCATCAATGTCAACTGAAGGATACATAGGGAGCATTGGCTGGGAAGCCGCGTTGCTTGGAGTCTGTGAACAGGGTTCAGGTGTAGGGGATTCTGTAGTGTGAGAAGAACTGTTGGAACCAGTGGGCACTCTGCTACTCACAGCTGAAAAACAAAATTCATATTGTTGAATTCCTCTCCTAAAAGGGGAATTAACAGTATGTCATACTATGTAATATACCACAAATTTATTTTTAAAATAAACATTTCACCACAGTCAGCTTTGTAAATAACAGCTTATATAACATGATGCCCAAGTGCAATGATAAGCACTTAATATCCTTGATTGTGATGAGGACTGAAAATAGTATTTTGCTTACAGTTACTAAGCAGATAAATTCTCATTATGGCTCATTCTTTTAAAAAAGTGTCATTTAGAAGAAAAACCAAAAGTTGGAATAGCTTTTACATAATTAGCAAAGTGTCATGATTTTTATTATTTAAGACACTTAAAAATTATTCTAAAAGAACTCCATGTCTTAAAAACCAAACTAAAAATGAACAAACTAATAAAAATGATACCCTATTCATTCTAGGGTATCCCTGAATAATTATATTATGTAAAAACCAGATCAATCCAGTGCCTAATTCATTTCCTTTTAATACTTAATGGCTTCCCTGTCACCTGCTAAACTGAACCAGAGTGTAAAATATAAGGAATTCTGTCACTTAATAAAAGGTTCCATGCCAGTTATTTTTTGGAGGCTTTCTAAGTGTCATTACTTCACCATATGGAAGGTAGGCAGACATTTGTGCTCCAGAATGAAGGTGCCTTTTCTAGTACAACTTCTTACTACCATCATTTGTATAGTGAGGATAATATCCGCTCCATCTACCCGATAATTGTTGCCAAATTTGATAATAATCACACATTAAAACATCCCGGAACACTAAAAGACATTGTATAAATCTAGAATATTTTTATTAGTAGTTAAATAAGGTTTTAAAAATAATTAGGGAATTTTGCTTATTCAAGCTGTATTTCTCCATAGTATGAAGAAATGTTTTAAAACTTACATTAAGACTTTTTGATCAATATTACAGTTATATAGGAGCTGTTCCAGAGCTTTTCTTTCTTTTTTTTTAAAGTAATTTTCTTTAAGTAATTAACACATGTGAGTATTCAATAGCTCTGATTATATAAGTGACTAGTGTTTTAATAGCGTTCTGCATTTTGTACCGTGCTAGTTAAGATATATTTTTCCTTTAGCAATAGGAAAAATCTAAAACATCTTTACTGAAAGTCTCAAAGGTCTATAAAAAAACTTAAAAAGCATTAAAATGTATGTGGAATAATAAGAAATATTTCAAGAAAATGTTATCAGAAAGGTAAAAACTTCAAATAAAATTCCTAAGTTTTTTTCTCTTCCCTAGCTAAAAGTCATCAGTAATTAATAGTAAATCTCTAATTCAAGAGCAACACAGGATTTATCAACATTTTAAAGTGTTAGAGGGAGAAATGTGGGAAGACAGATATCAGGGACTCCATCCTTTATGAAATTAAGGAAATTCACCTTAGTAAGCCATATAGGGACAAAAAGGTTCCCTCTTAAAGTAGAATCGTGACAAAGTATTACCCATTCAAAACTACTAACATATTTATAATGTAAATACAAATCCATCTATACTTGACAATTATCAAAGAGTCACAAAGCACATTTATGACAAGCTTCTTGAAATGAAATACATTAAACCTAGCTTTATTATAGTCATGTTCTGAAATGGTGGTTTGCAAATAAATTTTGGTAAATGTTTGCTTGAATGGGGCTTCTTATTTAAAAAACCATACTATTTTTGTACAACAGAAATTAAATAAAATCCATTCCTGATTTATTTTTTCTCAAGTTGTATCTCTGTATATCAAGTTCACACAAACCAAAGTAAAAGCATTAGTTATTTGTTTTTAGCTTCCAATATTGTGCCATACATACTGATCAATATGAATATCAATGAATTGATGCGATATACTTAAAAAAATACTTTACATAAGAAACCTTTAAAAAAGTTATCCAAAATGCCTTTAAATTACAAAATCTAGACTACTTTATGATATAGACTGTATCTTCTATTTCAAAACATATCTCTGGCCTATAGTTAATCTTCCTTCTATAATTATGCCATACTACTGTTTCAAAATAACATTCTACAATCACCCAATAATTTTTCTTTAGCTTAATTTTTTTCAAGTGAACTCATTAATTTGTTATTTACATTTATCCTTTCCATTAAAAAATTTATACTCTTTGCCTCTATAATACTACTTGTCTATGTCAAACCAAACAGGTTGGTGTAAATAATGGGAGGTTATAGCAGTCAAACACGTAAGTTGAGATGTTAAATTTAATTGATTTAACAGCAATAAAAAATGATGAACATGGAATTGAATAAAATGAATTATCATTTTCCTTTGAAAAATGGTATTTTTACTTTTAATTTTTCACATTAGTTGATCAAATGAGATAACGAATTTAAAGTACTATATTAATGGTCTGTTATTACTATTATTATAGTAATAATTAATGTTCAGAATTTACCATCTAAATGTTTCTTTGAGTAAACTAATCATTGAAATGCATCATGTTACAAATACAAAGATGAACTTAAGAAAGTGGTATTTATTATGCTAAAGACAATGAGGGATCATTTATAATTGGGAATTCAATTTTTAAAAAAATTATTAAGTGCCTTTAAATTGCTTTTTAATTGTTTCAGAAATTAAAAAATTCTGGCTTGAAAAAGCTGACACACCAAAATGAGGAGAGGGTTCCTATCAAACATTACCTATCTTGTTGATTTCATTTTTTTCCACCAAAATTATAAAAAAAATTTCAGAACAAGTTAGACTATTGGTAAAATAATGTTTTCAGAGTAAAGTACTAAAGTTCAATTTGATTTCATGGGTATAGGGAACTCAAGGGAGGAAACTTCTTCCGCAAATGCAGAGCCACAACTGTTCTGCAATTTAGTCTTGGAGTTGCTTGGGCACTGTGAGACTAAGTGCTGCGCCAGAGTCACATAGCCAGGATTGGAACCTAAGTAAGTACTTCCTGATTCAGAGGATAGCTTTCCATCAGAATGCTATGCTGCCTCTCACTCCTGTTCCTTAAGGAAGAAAAACTGAATCAATACAATAATGATTTTTTTTATATAAAGGTAATTTTAAAAGTTATTTGCAGATGTTACAAAACTAGGGTTAATACTTTACTGTAGAGATGACACAAATAGGTAGTCAGATCTCAAATTATGACTAAACATCAATTTTATTTAATAAAATGGCTGAAGTATTTGCATACGTACAAGAATTGAAATGTTTTGTAAACCTACTTTTTAAGCCCTGATTCTTAATTTTGCAATTCCCTATTCCAAAAACAAATTTTAGTCAATTCTAATTTAACAGATCTCTTAATTTTAAAAACACTTCAAAATGCTAACATCAATTTGAAGACCTGACATGTCCTTTTAGAAAATGTTCCACAATGCATACAACTGACTAATAATGTGGGATATTCAAAATGCAAGGAAGCACTAAGATCCTTAAAAAAATCATAAAGCTAAAAAGGACCACTGAGATCATCTAGCCTAACCTCCTCACCTTTTAGAAGAGGAAACTGAGGTCTAGAGAAGTTAACTGACTTATTTAAGGCCACACCAGTAGTTAAAAACAGCAGAACCAGGATTCGAACACTTGGTCTTCTGACTCTGAATCCAGTACTTTTCTACTACATCTAACCTAGAGAAATTCATTGTCTCTGTTTCTCCTTTCTCTCTTCCCCTACTCCTCTCCCCCTCGCCATCTCCTCTTTCTTCCTTACTTCTCTCTATTTTTCTCCCCCACCCCTCTCTCCACACCCTCTCTCAAAAGTGGACAGAAACTTTAGTCACCTGAGGACCAGCCTACATAAGATCAGAGAGGTTCATTGTAAGATGATTATTTACACCAATTGATTTTTCAAATATAGTAACTCAGGGAAACTATCTATGAAGGCATATAGAGATGTTACAATCTTTGTGAATGAGAGGAGTACCCATATATTAAGGAAATCATAGTTCTTTAAAGTAATGCTAACTGTGGAACCCATAGTTTTAGAGGTATTATTTTAGAAGTATTACACAAGTCACCAGAGTTTTATCATCACACTTCATTTGTAGTCCAAGATGTTTTTGTCCAAATGAAAGCTCAAAACTAACAATGAGATTTATTCATATTAACCACTAAAATTTACAACAGATTTGAAAGGTGGGTTGAAATTATACAACAATTAAAGGCTGAGGATCATAAAACCATAAACCACAATAACTGGAAGACTTTCACTGTTTTTTAATTCCTTTAAAGACAAAGCTATTGCTCATTTGTAGGGCGATGCATGTAATTCAAGGTATCATAAGAAAATACTACAGACATTCCTAAACATAACTTACTGCTTGCCAATAATTCATGCTCAAAAGTGAAAAATTTCTAATTTAAAGAATCACATTTTGGTAATACCACTCAAGATTAAGAAGGGTTGATTTCACATAGAAGAAAACAGAAGGGAAAACTACAGTTAGGGAATAGGAGGTGTGAGAAGAACAAAAATAAATGACAGAAAGGGGAAAATGTTGGAATCAAGCTTTTGAATATTATTTGATCTGGGTTTTAATTCCTGAATTGACCCTATTGTACTACCAGAAGCCATGTTAGCTCTTTCAGAGGGTCCTTTCACTAACTATCTTTAGGAAGGGAAGCAATTATACTCCTTCCCCCTTTGCTAAGAAGACAATGAAAAGCAAAGTAAGCTTGTCTAATTTACTTACAGTTAAAACTTTCCCAGATAACAATTAAACAGAATAATAAGTGTAGATTGCCAGCCCTTATAAGTTCTGGGGTACTTTCAACAAAATAGCTAATGCAGGGGTAGACTCAAGTCTTCAACCCATCACACTGTGACTACTCTTCAGTACTTTAATTTTGCAAATAGCAAAGATCACAATAACTTATGTCAACAAAATTAAAAGCAAATGTAACTAAAGATTGTGCTACATTATGTATTCCAAACATAAAAAATAAATAGTACAGTAAAGTAACAGATGGATAAACATATGGTAATTTCCATAAGGAATATGGAAGAGTCCATTATTTCTTTTTAAAACATGGCTCACTCCTTGTGAACTAAGATATCATACAAACAAGTGAGGAAGTTATTAAAGTTGTTGATATACCAGAGGTCTCCAATAAAGGAACTTAGCAATGTTTATTTCTTCATTTTTGCAAAGTGACAGAAGGAGAGAAAAAAAATAGGAAAATCTTGTGTCTTAGTGCTATTAAGGCTTAATAATATTCCCATCCACAAACACACAAGGAAATGAGTAATCATACATAAGACACTTCCAAACTGAAAAGCATCAAGATATGTATTTTTGGAGGGTGTGTGTAAAGAAGCTGAGCACACAAGTTAAAGCAAAAATTTTATATATGGGCATATATATGTATATATATGTGTGTGTGTATATATATATATATATAAAATATAGATAGATATATTTCTTAACCCACCTGCTATCAGGTCATCAAGAGTGTCGGTAAGCGTCTGTGCTGGAGTTGCAACCATTAGTCCATCTGGTTCTTGAACTAACAGTCCCTGCCCATGTCCAGCAATCTGTTGTTGTCCTACATTCTGCTGATTACCTAATGCTTTCTGAAGTTCAAGAGAATTTGTCCCATTATAACCTAAGTCACCAGAAAAGTTACACTGTGAAGATGGTAAAGGCTGGACAGGGACAAAATCAATTTGTTCTGCAGGTGGTGGAGACTGTTGTTCATTATCATCATCTTCCTCCTTAGATAAGACTGCATCAACCTGAGGTAACACTGAAAAATTACCCTCTGAGATACTATCATCTTCTTCCCCTTCTGGAAAGACACTTCTGTGAGGACACTGTTGCTGTGATGTATCTGTCTGACCTTTGGTCTCCAGGTATTCTTTGGTAAATTGCTGTTGTGTTTTCATTTGTAATTGCCTTTCCACTTTCTGCAGTTCCTTCAGAATTTTCTTTTTCTTCTGGACTTGTTCTTCTCTGTTCTTTTTAAGTTCTTCTATCTTATCTTTGTTCAGAGGTTCACCTTGAATTAACTCCAATGATTTCAGTTGTGCTTTTTCAATAGCACTAATCCTTTGTCCCAGTTCATTTAGCTTGCCTTCAGTCTCCTCTACTATGCATTCCAAAGGCTGGTAGGGGTGAAAAGATGGCAGTAGATCCTGATCTGCTACCTGCAGGGAACTTGACTTCTGCTTGGATGTACCTAAGCACATGAAAAATGTTTGAAAAAGTGCCATGCTAAAAAAATTAGCCACCCCTTCCCAGACCGCCCCACAAAAGCCCTTATTATTAATGCTGTAGAATGTATGTCAAAAAAGTCATGGTAACATTAAATAGATTAACATCTATGCTCATTTACAATACATTGTAAACCGGCATGTGACCAATTTTGAGATCTGAATTTTAATACTTAATGCCTTAAGCAACAATATTTTGAACTAAAGAAATCTTAGACTGAATTTACTAGAATGGATTCAAAGAGCATCAAATCTAAATCATCATCAGTCCTATTTTAGAAATTTGTCTAATGGGCTTTTTAGCAAATCTATCAAATCCTTTAAAACAGCATTAACTGTTTTCTAATAAGAAAAGATAATAAGAGAGTACTCTGTGGGTACAGCTTTGGAGAGGGTTTTCCAAGCTATCCATTTTTTTCTTCTTTAAGATGAATCACATTGTGATCATAATTTTTCATGACCTATGCTTGAAGATCTTTCTAATATGTAAGTTTTTCTTTCTGTTGCTTCCCTGACTTTGGATATTATAAATACCATACCATTCAACTCAACATTCAAAGGGCAATTGAAAGAAAACTATTCAGAAAGAATGAAGTCTTATTTATTATATTGAAGAGAAGACACACTCATTCTGAAAGGGAACCACTGGTGTTCTGGTTTTAAAGAGAGCTAGACAACATTCCTATAACTACTTAGTTTTATGAGTGGAGCTTAAAACAAGTGAAATTTGATGGTTTAGGTATTAGGTATTTGTTTGTTTTTAATTAGGTCAGTTTCTCATCTTTTCCCCCTTTACTCTTTTTCTATCATGTCTATTTGGCTGCTAAAAATTAAAAATCCTACCATTTAGATACAAAATAGAAAAAATATACTTTAGACTTACAATGCAAATCAAAAAGCTATTTTGAAGTGAATTAAAACAAATCTTGTTTAGAAAGGATTGGCCAAAAATAGTTGCTGGTTTGGATAGGGGTCAGTGTGCCTAGTCACTTGGGTAATACAGTTACTTAAAAATTTAAAACTTAGAAGTAATATATATTCAAACCACACAAAACAGTTACTAGATCTAAAGAAAAAATATAAGGCCACAAGGAAGGCATTAACACACCTTGAATGATAAGAGTGACGAACTCTCTGAAGAAAAGAAGAATTCAATTGTTTTCTTACTAAAGAAATTCTAGTACTATACCCAGTTCACCTGCTGCATCATGTATGTAAAAGTGTCTAACACTTTGTCCTTATAAGTTACTTCTTCTTTTATGACAGTCATATTCCTACCTTTCCCAAAACATCAATGCAAGTATTTTAAGAAGCTTAATTTTAAATTAAAAATAATCATCAGAAAAACATATCATTATCTGCGTTCAATTTTGGATTACAAATTGAACACAGCAATAAAGGAAAATTTCTTGAGCAATTTTTCTTAAACAATTACTACTCTAAGATTCCACAGAAACATATACATGATTTTATGTATTTGTTCTCTACTTTGATTATGGAAGTTCAGGGGAGTAACAATTAAATAGAACTGAAAAGGAGCAAATTTAGGACACAACCTTAGTCATATATGGCATTTACATTGGTCAGTGAATTTGGAAATTCTTCAAAACATGAGGGTTCCTGCAGCCATTTAAGATCTCTGAAATAATTTGGTGTAACTGCAGCATAATTCTGATTTATGAATAAGCAATGGTGGGAAGACTAGTAGTCAAGGTAAGGTGATACTCCATTTTAAGTCCTAGAAGTTTCAGGTCAATGACAGATCGGAATGGCATTGTTAATCTTGCTAAGGCAAATTCATTTAAGAAGCTTAGAATAACAGATAATTAAAATTGACCTATGTAAGTGACTAGAACTGTGTACACAAAACAAGAAAAAGCAAGGGATAAATCTAACCTGAGGTAAATGAAATGAACTCAAAGTAGCTCCTTTCAGATCTGGAATAGTACTACTATTTCTTTATGAGTGTAACCACAGTGCAGATTTAATGCATCTTCCCAAAACTTCCCATGAAAATAGTAGGTAACAAGAAGAAATTGCAATAGATACTAGCAGCATGTAATATATACACTTATTGGCAGAATGATTATCCTTGCCACCTAAGAACAACTTTCTTTCCAAAAAACATTTTGAAATTTAGATGTTTTTGGAAGTCAGTGAGAAGAGCCATCTCAACCCACTGTAAAAGAATGGATGCAATCTGTTGTTTTTATCTATTGTTTAAATTGCATTTAATGAAAGCATCTGTATGAGCATGCCCAAACCAAATACCACAGCTTTGACAAGAAATTATTTCCAATTTACATCTTTTGTTCCCAGGATATAAGATACAGTTATAGAGATTAGGAAGAGATAATGTGATGTCTCTAAAGATGGAAGCATTAATTATATGTAGCAGTACAGACATCTCTTTTCCAGGGAATGAGACTGAGGAAAGTGACAAAGCTTCCTGTTAGCAACTAAATCATGACTTGTGCAAATTAGGTTTTGGTAGTTATGCAGGTACTACTTGTAGGACACCAGTCAACAATGAGGGCCTCATTTCCTGCATATGTTTTGTTAATTGCAAGTAAATTTAGTTTTCCTGTATGAGTTTTTAATACCATAAAGGTAATACCATCTGGGGATGTGTTAATGTAGACTCAATGTTAGTGAGAGTTTTTCCAATGCTTCTCTTTCACATTGTCCCTTCCTGGTATGTTTTCTATACTGAACTTAATACTCATATGTCTATCTTCTTCCCACTTCCTTTCATCTATTTTTTTAATTCTAAACTTCAAAGTATCCAGGATGTCAATGGTGTGGCCACTCCTTCTACTTACAGAGCCTGTAAACCCTCCATGCTTTTAATAAGCTGTTCTGTCTTGAGCTGCTATCACCAGATAAAAATCACTACCTGGCAATCATCTTTTGGTGATGAACCTCCACCTATTTAGCTAGACTGGTTCTGGAGACAGACTTGTAGTTTGTCATTAGACTCTTACTCTACTGTTCCTGTTGCTAAAACTGGAGGAAAAGTCCATGGGTTGAAGATATAATCTCTCAGGAGCAAATTAAGAGATTCATGCAGATTAAGAACACTGACTGGGCTTTGGTTTTTTGGGAAATACGGTTGAAAGAGAAAACCTTTTTAGAATGTAGGTTTAGTATTAAATTATTTCAAGTGACAAAAACTTAGTTGTTTGCTTTTTTATTATCCAAAATCACATTCATAAATAACAATATGTTTACTGTTAACATAAGAGCTATACAAGTCTTAGGTGACAGTTCAGATTAACCTTGGGTTGTAAATGGGTTGCTTAATTTCCTAAGAACAAATGTCACAAACAAATATGATGATAATCTCATCTCTTTACAGATTTCAAGAGCAAATCTTCCCCACACTCAGTTATATAAGGTAATATGTCTTAAACCCTTAGTATTTTATATTTATGGTAATGGTCTCACTTGGTCTATTTCTACAGCCTCCCATAAATGCCAGACTCTAGGTGCTGAACCTTATACACCTTGTTTATCTCAGTGTGGAACACACACACACACACACACACACACACACACACACACACACACACA